GCCGCCGTGCCCTGCTCCCGGTGCCGCCGTGCCCTGCTCCCGGTGCCCGCGGGGAGGGCGGGGATCCCCGGGGAGCTGTGCGCGCCGCTCCGTGTGCTGCTGCTCCTGCAGGGACACTGCAGGCTCCGCACTGAGGGCGTCGCTCCGCGCAGCGCGATCTCACGGCTCGGGCACTGCGAGAGGGGAGCATCGAGCAGGAAAAGGACACCAAAAGAACAGAGTCGCTGTCTGGGGAACTGTTTGAGAATTGCTGCCCTTGCCAAGTTAAAACGTGTGCACAAAAAATGTCTCGTTCTTCCCTGCCTATGTTCCAACATAGGACCCAGTTAAAAAAATGGCTGTTTTTGTGAAAGTCCAACTTCTAGATGCTCACTGGTGTACACACCTCTTAGCATGTTCAAGATCTAAATGCAGTGTTCAGGCAGCCTTTCTTTCACAGCTAATATTGATATGCTGCCCCAGAGTTACAAAAGCAGAGAAAAGAAAACCCTGACAGACATTTTGTGCTCCAGTTGATACATATTTGCATATTTCTGCATGGTGAAAGTTGTTTTTTTTTTAATTATTTTTGCAGCCTATCAGCCTGGATGTAGTCGCCCTGTCAGAAGTATGAAATTTACAGCAGAAGAATTAATTTAACACCAAAAAAACTCTCCCTCATCTGAACTGTCATTCAAAATGCACAATGAAAATCACCAAGGAGAAGTTTTCTATCCCACTGTCTGCAGGACTCCTGGAAGAATCTTCTGAAACTTGTGGTAAGTTTTAGAGACAAAGAGCAAACAGCTTAGCTGTAAAATAGAAGCTGATGCGAGGGTGTAATTCTAGGGCAGAGAAGATCCTGTGTGTGCACTGATCTCTCTGCTGAGATGTCTGTAGGAGGAATGGCATGTGAGAAAATTTCAATGCAATATTTGTTTAAGTAATCAAAGCAGAAAGAATAAACCTAAGTTTACTACCAGAATTGAATAATATATATATATATATTTGAAGGAATTGCTTAGTATTTAAAAATGAAAGCTTGTATTATATTTTCTTTATTCTTTTGAAAATATGTGTCAAAGTACAGAAATGTTTAACTATGAAAAATAAGTGATAGTGTAAGCAGGACAAGCAGGAACTGCTGAGTAGGACAATGTATTTTGGCTTGGTTAGCTCCTGAGAAATAGCTGCAGTATTTGCACTGTGTTCAGTTAATGCTATTGCCTTGTCCTTAGTGGTTTTGTTTTGCATTCAGCAGTGGTATCCATTCTCTTACATTTGGTGATTAAATTCTTCCACTGTATTTCCTAATTGCTCTGTCAATGTAGTACAGGTGATTAGGGTGTCATCAGGATCCCTTCTCCATCACTGTGGTCATAGGATTTTGTGTGGAGCGTTTTCCAGAGGCTATCAGTATGTTCTGTTATACAGGACTCCTTTTCTCCTGCTTCTGTGTCAGGTCCTAGGTATAACTAAAATTCACCCCAGAAACCTTGCTTTTAAAGTGCTGGGCACAGCCATTAGTGGTGCAGGGGTTCACATTCAGGGCAGTATAAAGTGCTGCTGATGACAAATAATGGAAAGCTTGCTTTATAGCCTTAGGAGTTTGGCCAGGGCATACAAAGAACTATTTTACATTTGTTTATAGTCAGACAAGTTTGCAAGTAAGACAGTAACAGGCATAAGTGTTCTTGCAGCCTTTGCAGCTCCTCTTTCTTGTTAGCATCAAAGAGAATATTTGTGGTAGAATGCATAGGAGTCAGTAATAAGTGTGGGGGAATCAACAGCCTGGAGATTTATCCCCTATCCTCCCATGATGTGTGCCTTTGCAGGACAGGCAAAGCATGTGTATTTTCCTTGTCTGCTCTCCCTCCAAATGCTGGAGGATGGGAACGATGGCTGGGCACTGGTACCACACTGTGCACCCCAGAGCACCAGAGGCATTGAGGAACACAGGCAGAGCCTTATGTAACCATGACATCAGTGGCTTATTTCTGGCAGTGGCTCCTGTAAATTAGCACTGAGGATGGAGCCCTCGTGCTGCTCTGTAGCCTGCATGGCCCCCCTGTGCATTGCATCAGGAACGTGGAGAACCTTCCCAGGAACCCTGGCACAGGGGATATGATGTTGTTTTGCATAGGAAGCATGTATGTGGGTGAATATATGTGTTGCATACATGTGTATAAATATGTAAAGTGGCTCACGTTGCCTGTGTCTGGGGGCAGAGCCTCATGTGTGACAGACCTTTTAACTTTGGGGGTTGTGCATCTTTTGTGTCAGCTCTGAGGCAGTGGAGATCAGCTGAAATATCAGTCCTAGGGGGTCACTGGTGGGTAAGAGAGAGTTGCCACGATCCCAGTTTCTCTGAGGGCCCTTGGGGTCCATGATTGGATTCCTCTCACAGCTTGGTCCAAGCCAGCATGTGTTTGTTGTCTGTAAAGCCCATTTATCTCATGCTTTCACCTGGGGATGCCAGTCTGGGGCTGTGCAGATCTGCTGAAAAGGTACTTGAGGGTTGGGACTTTCAAGGCCTTAAATAACTATATAGAAAGATAACTTCTATTGAGGAAATGTTACCCCTTTGCTCATTTCTTTTTTTATGTCTTTCATTGTGTGCCAGTGGTGCTGAAAAACTGAGATTTGGGTGTCCATATATTTTATACTGAATTTGAAACATAAACAGCTCACCATAAGAACCTTCTTATAAAAAGTTGAGAGAGAGAGAGAGAGAGAAATCAGTTAAGAAAACAGTGAGTTATTATTGCTACCTCTGACATACATAAGTCTAGTAATACATATATGTCTTTAGGACTTGACTTCAGAATAAATTTCAAGATCAGAAACTAAATTAAAATCTTCTAAAACTTGATCCTCATGTATTTTTAAGGAAGTGGTCTATTCCAAGAACTCTAATATATGAAGTCTTGTTAAGGTTAAAGTCTCTGCAGGCTGAAGTTCACTTTTTGAAGAAGAAACACAGTTAACAGTAAAATCAGGTAACACCCAATGATATTTCAACAACTAGTTAATTTAAATAAATTCGTAGTGAGAACATCTTCAGTGTATACAGAAATACTAACTTCTCTTTTTATTGGTGTGTTGATACACAACTTTCTCAGTAATAATATGCTTTATTTTGGAAAAAACTAACCTTTGTGTCTTCACTAACAAACATTGAATACTCTTCTGACTGTTCTCTCATTCTGTTGGTTCTCACGTATTCATGTGAGAATTTTTTGACTCATACTTTAAAAGTATTTTAATACTCAGTAAACCTTCTTTCAAATACACTTGCTCTGGATACTCTCAGAGGGAGGAAGAGCTGCTCTCCCGTGCTTCCCATGTCCTGGGTGTGTGCAGTGACTCTGGCAGCTGATGCTGCATTGCTCCAGACAGAAATAGAAAGAGAAATCAGTAACTCTGACCTGTTGCAAAGTGAGAAATGAGGCATTTTGAAATCAGATGCAAACACAGGATCCAGCGTGGTTTGCTTACTCCTGATGTGTCACTTCTGGCCCAAGGAGTGTGGTGTTCTCAAACCCAGCCGAGGGCAAAGGCTGGCCCCGTGCCCGTTAATTTTCTGCAAAGTTATTTGGATGTGTTGAGGTAAAGAAAGAGGTTTTGGTTGTGTGGAATTTTGTTTTTCCCTGAGCTGCAGAAAGCAGATTCCCCTGTACACAGGCCTTAACTGGGTTAGTGAGCCATGAGTCCAGGAAAGGGACAGTGCCATTTGAGCACTCAGCTCTCTTTGGAAGAGCTTCACAAATCCCAGGCAAGGCTGGGCCTCCTGAGATGGTTGGCATTATCAGGGCAGACATCAGGTTCAAGCACTTATCTGGCCTCTGCTCTTCTTTTTATTTAGAATTTCAGTTCTCTGGAGTATCATTGGACAAGGAAATGGTGTGTCCACAAAGTTCAGATTTAGTAAACTGATAACAATAACAATAAACAATTAGTTACTGAAAAAGAACATGAAAGAATAAATATTTTTAAATGTATTTTAGATTTAAATGTAGCAACTGTGCAATATATTATTCTGAAGCTCTGGAATGAGGCGCTGGGACTGACATAACTTGCCCAGAGTATTCCCTGGATTAAAAATTTGTGCTGTTTGGATTCTGTCATGAAATGGTTGGCATCCCAGCAGTCATGACAAGTGTATAAGTTGGCAAGGAATGAAAAATGGTGGTGCCTCTGAAGTTTAGCGGGAGGTTTCCTGCCTGGGGATGGCAGGCAGTTGTAGCTGTTGCTAATGCCGTTCCCTTGCCTGTGCAGCAGCTCATCTCTGAAACAAAGCAAACTCGGGCGTGGGTTCCACTTTGTCATAGGAACTGCTGCATTTGGCTTTCTTTGAGTGTTTTCAGGCACTGGAGTTTTCATATTCCACTTCTCTTTTTTTTTCTTGTTGTTTTGTTAATAAATTAAATCTGACTACAAGATCCCTCTGCCTCTAAACTGCAGTAAGGGCTGCTTGAAAAAGCACGAGCCTCCTAAAATTTTTACCCTCAAGAGGAAATAACTGATTTTTTGTTTGTCTTTGATCCGGTTGCATCAATGTAATTTTCCTTCTTCAAACAATTGAGCCTGCAGTTCATTATAGTGCAGGACCGGAACCCTTCTATTACCTTATTTTTAGCAACAATTACATTAAAGCAACAATTACATTGAAGCCCAGCACCTCTGTCGTGCTGGGAGAGGAGCAGCTGGACGGGGGTGTCCTGTGCTGCTGGGGCTCGAGGGTTTCTCTGGGGCCAAGTGGTGCCCTCGTGCAGCCATTTCCAGCCTGGCCTCTTTGTTTGCAGGACTTTGCCTTGCTCTCCTCAAGGCTCTCAAGGAGCTGTTAGTGCTTTGAAGTGTCCTGAGGGGGCTGTGTCAGCCCTGGGGCTCTGTGGGACCCCCGTGGAAGCGCTGCCTGTGCTGTGGATCTCAGTGCCCTCCTGCCCCCCAGCATCAGGGAGCACCGTGATGCCAGGCCAGTGCATCCCTGGAGGGCACTCAATGGAGCTCCTGAGCCTGGGAAGGCCAGGGGCTCTGCAGGGCTCTGCTCCTGCAGGCTTTAGCATCTTCCCAGAGCACAGCTTTGGGCTTCTTCCAGCTTTTGTACTTGATTAAAACATCATTTTCCTTCAGCTTATGGAGCTTAGAAGCTCTTAGAGGCATGAGTTAATGGAGAGACAGGTTGTGTCTGCTATGGAGTTGAGGAGCTGTGCTTCAGAGGAGAAAAATCATTCTGCCAGGTGATTTGTAAGGTTCAGGCATTGCTTCTAGAATTTTTCGAGCAAGTGTTTATCTGCAGTTGGGACTGACTGACACCATCACTTCTTCTTAGGAAATGTGCCCTTAGAGGATGTTGTAGTTTTCCTAAACATGACCCTTGGAAGTCTAGGAAGAAAAAGGTGCTGCTGAGGCAGGAGGGAGGTGAGGGAGAATAGTGTGTGAGATTTGGAGGTGTCTGCCAAGCTTGAGAGAACAACCTCCCATCACAGTGGCTGTGGCAACCCAACTGGAACTTGGAAAGAGGAGCATAGTTTGAAACATTGGATATTTTACTGTCATTGTACCTGATTGAAATATCCACGTGTTGCAGGTAGTAAAGCTCTCTAAATACCCATATTAAAGTTCACTGCAAAAATATGGAACCTTCATGTTATTTACCTGACATGCTGTGCACGGAAATGTGGTTAGCATCCAGCAGGCCCAGAGACCCACAGACAGGAAAAAATCTGATTAATAGCACCAAGAAATGGGCAGAGTAACCCCCTGCAAGGAACCAGACCCCTCGGAATGCAAAACTGCCAGGCCAGGAAGATTTGAGGCGCATGTGGAAGAGCTGTGTCTGTATATGAGCCTGACAAAGGGAATAAAAATGACAGGATGAAGGTACAACTTTATGTTTTCACAGGATAAAACGGAAGAGTGCAATAAAATTGCCAGGAATGAATATACAAACCCTGAAAGAGCTGGGGAAAATATTTGAGGAGAATGTACAGGAGGCAGCAGAGGAATACTTTTCTCTAAATTCCAAAACCAAGAAATAGAGAAGAGCATAGATGCTTGCATTGTATTGCAGAAAGTTCTGGCGTGCACATGTACGTTAGAGACATAAAAGATCTCCTAATTAGAGACAGGATCATTTGTGGGACATGTGATTCCAGTTTATAGGAGGAATTGCTGAAAAAAAGACATCCAACCCTAAAGGAATGAATCAAAGAACAAGAGCAGCTGAACTGTCCAAGGAAAGGAGCAAAACGGCAGCCGCTCTTACAGGAGACAGGGAAGAGCTGGGCTTGAGAGGGATGAATCTGAGAGCAGGGCACAAAAGGGGAGTGCCATTTGGGGCTGCTGGGAACAGGGCCACCAGGGTTCATTGAGCAGCAGGACCGTGGTGTCTGTCCCTCCTCGGCAGGGAGAGAGGAGGCAGAAGGAAAAGCGACCAGCCAGGTGTGGTGGGGCAGCAGCAAGGTGGAAACCTGCTCTGTCTCAGCAGAACAGGAAGCAGCAGGCTGTTCTGGAGCTCAGCATGTCTGAAGGAATGTGAAATCAAGCTGCCGGCCTTTAGGTGTCTCTGGGTTAGCAACCTCTGCTCAGTCACCAAATGTTGCATGAAAAGCAGAACTGTCAAAGGAAAGCTGGGGTGACCTGTCTGCACTTCCGAGAGAGGAGAAGCAGGAAGATAATGTTTGAAAGAGGCACCAGGAAGTTAATCTGTCTGAGCATGACCTGAATGTTACCCCGGTTTTTTTTTGTTTCTCTACGCCGTTCTCTAAAGAAAAGCCAATTATTTTTCAGAAGAATAGGGGCCTCTCATGTTGTTATTCATCATGTGGCACATGAAACACCAACACTAACTCCGAAACTGCGAGTTAGCCGTGTCCTTTCATCACGTATGGTCATCTCATCACTAGGCTGGTGACTGCTCAAAGCTGCCTGAAAGTGGTTGGGCCCCAGACAACTGAACTTTTATGCATCAGTACAAAAGCAGCAAAGAAGATGAGAAGGAAAACTCGATTGTCCCAAGGGATGCAACGTAGTGGTTTGAGTAGTCCTGCCTAGAAAGTCACTTGTGGCTTTTATAATAAGGAACTTAAGGTTTGAATTTTCAGACTTATTAGCTGTACATTTGTTTGTTTTTTATTAACTTAATATACTATGTGCCACATTTTCCTTGGGGTATTGAGTCAAGTGATGGATTCATCCAGTTTAGCTCTAAATGCGTGGGCTCTCTTTTTCATAAAACTTTGAAGAGATTTGGGTCTCAAATTTCCAGAATGATTTTATTTTATGCCCGTATATTTTGGTACAGCAGCTAATGTTTTCTGTCCTGTTTCCTTTCTGAGAATACGTGCTTCTGGCTAATGCAGAGAGGGAATGTAGATTTTGTTTGTTCTCTTTCTTGACCCATGAGAATTAGAATTGTCTTCTTATATGAGCAGACACAGTTAAACCACTTTAGTCTACAAAAGAGTCACTGGAAGTTTCCAATCCCCTAGCTCTCTGCTTCAATGGAAAGAAAAACAGGTTTTAAAAAGTGTGAGAAAGATATGGCTATTAAGCTAATCCAGTATACTTCATCTAGCTGCTAAAAGTCTTGACTGTTAAAAGTGATTAAATGTAATTGCATCAGTAAAGGTGCTGTAAAAAAACCCCTGAGTTTCATTAGAAGCTATCTTTAGGAAACCCTGATTCCTTGGCTTACCAAGTTACATATAACATTGCTGTTTTATTTTGGGAGTGCTTTGAAGGTTTCTTAAACCCGAGGTTATATAGAAAGAATAAATAAAACCCAGCAGGACAAATACACAGTTCTGAAGTATTCTTCTAGGTTTCATTATATATCCACAGTGCATGTGCTTTATTCAAAAAGGAAATTGGGCACAAAACTGAAAAGTTAATGGATAAATATTCAACTATCTTAAAGAGCTGACCAAATAATAAAGATATTTGGAAGAAAAAAACAAATTAACAAACCACCACTTGTGTGGTGGATAAAGTTGTCATAAGATGGAATGGAA